TTATTTTTATTTTTTATTATTTTCGTTGTTGATGAGGGGAACTAACTGTTTGTATTGGAAGATTGTTAAAGTTACAGGTTAATTGATAATGTTATAAGTTAATTGTTAAGGTTACTGGTCAATTGTTAAGGTTATGGATCCATTCTCTCTCTCTCTCTCTCTCTCTCTATCATGATATTACTGTGATGATGTTAAAATGATTGAAGGGGATTGTTATTTTATTATTTTTGTTTTTTGTTATTTTCGTTGTTGATGAGAAAACTAATTGTTTTTGTTTGTATTGGGAGATTATAAGGTTACGAGTTAATTGTTAAGGTTACGGGTTAATTGCTAATGTTACAGGTCAGTTGTTAAGGTTATGGATCGGTTGTTAAGGTTACGGGTCAATTGTTAAGATTATGGGTCAATTGTTTAGGTACAGGTTGGTTGTGAAGGTTACACGTTAGGATATATATGTATATATATTTTGAGTGGAATTAATACTTTAGGTCACTTGACCTAGTGGTAAAGTTTGGGAGTTTGGACAAGAGGTTAGGGGTTCAAACCCCTACAACCATAATATTTTTAGAATATTCGTTGTTAAGGATAATGTGTGACGCCCCTAGTTTCAACAAGGCTGCAGTCCAAGGTAAAACCAAGAATGTCAAACCTGTCATGCACTACATCGTGCAATAGCATGTTTCACCATCACATTTACTATCTATCTAGTAGAATCAAGAACAGGTATAGATACAAAATAGGCTAGAGAAAATATACAGAAGAAATACTAAACGACAGATATTCTGAAGAAATCATCACCACTGAAATAAATAGATAAATCTCTGAGAGAAATAATATTTGACTGAATACAAGTGTCTCGACATAGGAAATCAAATGAAATGACATTTAGGCACATCGCCTTTACAAAACTAGAATGATAACTCAAATGTTCATAAACACATCTACTGTGGAGTTCTGACATAAACTACTAACAATATAGATAAATAACTGCTAAAGCAATTCCATCAACATACGGGTCTCCGTGAACCTGGCGTGTTACCTGAAAGGGGGAAACAATGAGCGTAAAGCGCTAGCAAGTAACATCTCAACCAACCCCAGGGGGAAGGGCTAGAAGAAAGAAAAATAGTTGTTAATACATATAGATAAGTAACATCTCAACCAACCCCAGGGGGAAGGGCTAGAAGAAAGAAAAATAGTTGTTAATACATATAGATAGTCAATCATCTACTCCGAAAGCTAGAAGAAAGAAAAATAGTTGTTAATACATATAGATAGTCAATCATCTACTCCGAAATAAAATGGTGGATTGATATTTAAAAATTTACAACACGAGCATATGTACGTCTCCTGTTAGCTCAAATTATAAATAGCTAAATACCAAATCTCAAAAAAACTACAACGTGGAGCAATAAATAAATATACCTCCATCTCCAACCATAATATCAATGACCTGTCAGATGTCAAATACGTGCCCAACTCGTGGACTGAAATAGGTAAATGTCCAATACATAAACTGCAAAAGCTTAAAGTTCAACACGAGGACTGTAATAGATTATAGTCCAACACGAGGACTTCTAATAGATTATAGTCCAACACGAGGACTTCAATGGATTATAGTCTAACACGAGGACTTCAATGAATTATAGTCCAACACGAGAACTTCAACATGAAAATAATATAAAAAAGCAGCATATTTACTACTCACTCTCATGCCTCGGTGAATGAATCTAAAACTCGTGTCTGTAGTCAACTCATATACACAAATCCCGGTGTATTATAATCCCGTATAACCTAGGTGTCTCGTCAGCCACACAAACTTATGCAACAACACGAACATGCAGAAAATTCCCCAGCGGTCGACCGCGAAGAAACATAAACCTTTTCTACAGGTTTCTGCTCCTCGAGGTTGATTCAAAAGTCATTATGCGACGATTCTATATACTACAAATCCTATATACGTGATTTAGCATTTCTAGAATATGTAAAAAATACAATATAATTACTATAGACAAAAAGAAACATTTTTAAACACATGTATGCATGTCGACACGTTTGAAAACAATTATCTTTCTTTTAAAACTCTTGTTAGGAAAATTTTTAGATCTAGATTTGCATTAAGAAATTCATGGGTGATCTTTATTAACTGAAAACTTATTCTTTTTACAACATACAATATAAAGATTTATCTTTATACATAAAATAGCATTTTAGGCTCATAAAACACAGGAAAAACTTTATTTAAAACGTTTAAAATATAGGTGTAGGATTGGACGAGATGAAACTCGCTTGAGGGGTGTTGATGAACTCCCAAAAACGAGTGAGAACGATCCTCCTTCGCTGAACATCGATGGATCTCGCGTTAGCTTCTCCAAAATCCTCCAAGAGTTGCCAAAGAAAGGGGGTTTAGGGTTTGAGAGAGATGAAGAGAGAGGAGGGGGCTAAGGCTATTAGGGTTTAAAAGAGGGTTCTGAGAGCTTCAAAACGGATATATATACTTAGGTATGCTTCCGGGTTCGGTATAAACAAAACCAACCCGAAATAGAGATAATCCTGGCGTCTGCACACCCAGCAGTCGACCGTATAGAAACCTGCACACAGGCTGAGGTTCGGTATATTGGCCATAACGTTCTCGTCCGACCTCCAAATAAGGTGATTTAAGATTTGTTAGAAATCTATTGAAAAGACCTACAACTTTGATCTTTTACACTTTCTTTGATTCTAACTGTATTAGTACGTAAAATATAAAAACTCATAACTGGTCATAAATCTCAGATTTCTCTTTTGGCCTTTGTGCATGTCTTGCATAAATCTCAGATTTCTCTTTTGGCCTTTGTGCATGTCTTGCACATATGCACTCATATATTCATAAATATATATTGAATTGATCTCAAATTTGGCCTTTGTGCATGTCTTGCACATATGCACTCATATATTCATAAATATATATTGAATTGATCTCAAATTAATTCTTATCATATTAAAACATCAAAATATATTATTTTTTACCATATAACATATTTATTATTATTTATCATAAAATATTCAAAATTTTAGGGTTTTACATAATGGTTGATTGTGAATGTTACGGATTGGTTGTTAAGGTTACGGGTTTGTTATTAAGATTACGAGTTTGTTGTTAAAGATGTGCGTTGGTTGTGAATGTTACGCTTTGATTGTAAAGTTAACCTACACAACAAATCCGTAACCTTAACAACAAACCCGTAACCTTCACAACCAACCCGTTACGAGTTTTTAGAATATTCGTTGTTAAGGATAATGGTTGGTTGTAAAGGTTACGGGTTGGTTGTGAAAGTTACAGGTTGGTTGTTAAGGTTACGGGTTTGTTATGTAGGTTAACTTCACAACCAAAGCGTAACATTCACAACCAACGCATATGCTTAACAACAAACCCGTAACCTTAACAACAAACCATTATCCTTAACAACGGATATTCTAAAAATATTGTGACTGTAGGGGGTTTGAACCCCTAACCTCTTTGTCCAAACTCCCAAACTTTACCACTAGGCCAACTGATCCAAAGTATTCATTCCACTCAATATATATATATATATATATATATATATATATCCCAACATGTAACCTTAACAACCAACCCATAACCTTAACAACTGACCCATAACCTTAACAACCGATCCGTAACCTCAACAACCGATCCATAACCTTGGCAACTGACCTGTAACATTAGCAATTAACTCGTAACCTTAATAATTAATCCGTAACCTTAACAATCTCCCAATACAAACAAAAACAATTAGTTTTCTCATCAACAATAAAAATAATAATATAACAATCCCCTTCAATCATTTTAATATCATCACAGTAACATCATGATAAAGAGAGAGGGAGAGAGAAGCGATCCATAACCTTAACAATTGACCCGTAACCTTAACAATTAACTCGTAACCTTAACCATTAACCCGTAACTTTAACAATCTCCCAATACAAACAGTTAATTCCCCTCATCAACAACGAAAATAATAAAAAATAAAAAAAATAAAATAATCACCATCAATCATTTCAACTATCATCTCAGTACATCATGATAAGAGAGAGAGAGAGAGAGAGAGAGAGAGAGAAGAGTATTATGATCTTCACATATTTTAATCTCTTGGGTTTTGTGTTTTGGGGGCTCATAGAACAAAATCTTTATTTTTGGGGGGGCAAAACACCCGTTGACAAAGTCTTAGGGGGGGAGCATGTTTTCTTGGCTTTTGGGGGCTGGAAGCATTTTTCCTTTTTTTAAATAATTTTATGTCAACTAACAGTCCACCTAACATGAAATAAAATCTCCTTAATTTGAATATGTCACACCCAAATCAGAACTGAACAAACCAAATCGAACCAAAACCGAACCGCACCGAACCGATTTGCAACGGTTCAGTTCGGTTTTGAATTATAAGTGGTTCGGTTCGGTTTAGCAAAATTTGACCAAAAACCGACCCGACCGACCATTTACACACCCCTAGTGTTAGCCCCCACTAGGGGGTGTTTTGAGGATTGGGATCCTCTACTAATGGATTCTCTACTAATATCTCCTAATAAAGAGATCCTGACTTTTGATTTATCAATTAAAGGTCAAGATCTCCTCATGAGCAAAAGTAAGGGGTCCCCTTACTTTTGCTCATGAGGAGATCTTGACCTTTGATTGATAAATCAAAGACCAAGATTCCATTAGGAGATATTAGGAAACTCTTCATTAGTAGAGGATCCCAATCCGTGTTTTGAAAGGATGCTACTTGACAAATGCTAAATCTTTTTGCAAATTTATGAAGACACATGGCCCCATATACCCCTGCATTTACATTCTTTCTTTGTTATGGACCACCTTTCTAAGTGGATACTACGTTTTAATTTTTGCAAAATCATCCCTCAACTTTTCATTCTGTCTTCTTTCGTAGACTATGGCCGTGAACATTTTGTATACTCAAGATTTTGTATTCTCATTGATGTTCTTTTCCATCTCACCTGTATCGGTGCAGACACTTGGTCTATCGCATACCATGTCTTCTCTCATGTGGCTTTGTGGCCCCCTAGCAGGATTTATTGTAAGTGTTCAATTTCATATTCTATCTTACACTTATTTGCAGAAATTATATGATACTAATAAATTTTTGTTTCTATGTTTTCACTTCAGGTTCAGCCTTGTGTTGGTTTGTATAGTGATAAATGTCGGTCAAATTTGGGAAGGAGGAGGCCGTTCATAATAGCTGGATGTCTTCTTATTTGTGTAGCGGTGGGTACCAGTTAATAAATCTTTAGTAAGTCTTTGTGTTGTTCTACGTACGTGTTAGTTTTATCTTATTATCATAAAATTGTTGTCTCAGGTTGTTATAATTGGTTTTTCTTCCGATATTGGCTATGCCTTGGGCGACACAAAAGAGGATTGCAGGTGAAACTTTTTTTTCCCCCCCCTTCGCCTCTCTTAATTCTCTCGGATATTTGTAAGAGAAATTGCTTTAGTGAAGGAGAAAAGAGATTAACCTTTGATCAAATATCTAACATCAAACATTTATATATGCAGCGTTTATCACGGTGCTCGGTGGAAAGCAGCACTTACATTTGTTGGTGGGTTTTGGGTGTTGGACTTTGCAAACAATGCAGTACAGGTAATCCTAAGGTTAAGCTACTTTGTAAGTTCTAGCTTCAATCCATAAATTTTTGTTTACCTATAATTCTGAAGTTCAACAGGGCCCAGCTAGAGCTTTGATGGCTGATCTCTCAGGTTGATGTATACTACATTTCTTAGTGATTAATTTTCTATAAACTGTGAATTTAAGCTGATACGTTTTTCCTTTGCAAAATAGGCCGTTTTGGATGCAATGCAGCAAATGCAATATTTGCAACTTGGATGGCTATTGGCAATATCCTTGGATATTCTTCAGGTTCAACCGGTGAATGGCACAAGTATGTACATATTCTAGTTCTGTTCAATAAAATGATCTGATTTGTGTAAGTAATCATCTTTGTTATTTCGTTTTGTTTTAATTAAGTTTGTCTTGTTTTGGTTACTCAAACCTTTGGCAGCTGGTTTCCTTTCCTCAGGACGAGAGCATGTTGTGATGCGTGTGCAAATTTGAAGGGAGCGTTCTTGGCAGCGGTGGTTAGTAACCTACTTGTGGGATTTATTCTCGTTTTACACTCAAATAGTTTTCTCTGTTTTATTTGTACTTTTTTGATAATAATATTAAACAAGGATAGATTTCCGCGTACCCCCAAAGTTTTGCCACTGAATAACCCCCTCAAACATTTTCAATTTTTCAACATACCCCAGCTCCGACCTGGAAAACCCCCAATTTTTTCAACATATATACCCCTAACAGTTAACATTATTTTCAGAAAACCCCAAGCTTTCAACATTATTTGAAAGAAAGCCCTCATATCTAAAGTACGATGAACTAGGCACGCTCATTTATTTGTTTTATGTTGAGAAATATTAATCTCATGGTTGATCTCTGCGTCTCCTAATTATAACGAACACTGATCCTTGATGGCCAAACAACAGATATTTCTCCTCATAAGCATGACGGTGACGATAATCCTCGCGAAAGAAGTGCCTCTACGCAGCACTCCTGGAAAAGGTGAAGATCAGGCTGCAAAATTCCTTGATATTTTCAAAAGTATGAAAAACCTGCCTCCGGGAATGCCTACGGTTCTTCTGATCACGTCTCTCACTTGGGTATGAAACTTATATGGATTTTATCATCCCATGTACGTAAGTTTGTAGTTGCAAAATAGTTTATTATAAGGTGTTCAATGTTTTCAATTTTATGGCTTCCAGTTGTCATGGTTCCCTTTCATCCTGTTTGACACTGACTGGATGGGCCGTGAAGTCTTCCATGGGGATCCAAAGGGAACTCAGGCTCAGATTGATGCGTTTGATAGAGGGGTTAGATCGGGTGCATTTGGTTTGCTATTGAACGCGGTAAGCACGTACAACAACATCATCAAATGCTTTATCCTAAAATTTTGAAATATCAGTTACATGAATCATTTTCTTTCATTCAGTTCGATTACCTTCTTTATTAATTTGTCATTACCACATCCTTCTTAATTTTTTTTTCTTGGGTGGTGGGTGGGGGGGGGGGGATAGTGGTCTAATCGGGGGTATGAGCTTCAAATTAGAGACTAGAACCAATTGTTTTACTCCTCCCAAAGGCAATAGAGAAGATCACAGATATGCGGGATGAGCCAGATTTTTATCTGTTAATTAAGAAAAACCTGCATTTTCAAAACTTAACCCGTTTCAGGGCTCTGTCCATAGATCTAAGTCTGGTCTGTATTAACCTTGCTCCACACCAATAGAAGACCTTATATCCTTTATCCTGAAAAGAACCAACTACGAAATCTTGATGAACTCTAGCCTTATCCAAATACATGAAGTTACAAAGAATCAAAGGCACAAACCTAACAGATTTCAGTCATGTTCTCTGACTCGTAGACCTACCTCCACTCCTGCTTGCTCTATTACTTATATTCTTATCACTTATATAATTAATTGGTGAACTTAGGATGCTCACCTATACTGACTCTGGATCTCTTAATGTTCTATTATTTTAGATTGTTCTTTGTGTCGGTTCTTTCCTGGTCACACCCTTGTGTCAAAAACTCACCCCGAGAATCGTGTGGGTGATGAGCAACTTCATGGTATGCGTCGCGATGATTGCAACGACGATCATCAGCGAGTGGTCGTTGGATAAATATCACGGTGGACGAGATAGCCCATTTATTGGACCAGATGGAAATGTGAAAGCAGTGGCTTTGTTTGTCTTTGCAGCTCTCGGTTTCCCCATGGCTGTTAGTATACTGAATATTTAAGTTATCTGATTGTTGAATTCACTAGGATAAATTGCTGACAGGATGAAATTCTATTGCTTGTAGGTTTTATTTAGTGTTCCTTTTGCAGTGACAGCCTCATTAGCTGCTAACCAAGGAGGTGGCCAAGGTTTGTTGAGAGTAGTGTTTTTATGCATACGATTAATTGCACATAGACCCCCTTTAGTACCCGTTTGTTCTGAGCTTACTACCCCGCTACCTTTGTTATTGCTGATAGATCGCGTGAGAATTTTTTTTTTCTCTTTTACCCTCAGGGATTCCACTTGTTAAAAAAAAGAAAAAAAGAGGGAAAAAACGATTCGCTTTCATTGAGGGTAAACGAGTAAAACAAATTCACTTAGATGGTATGTATGCAAAAATAAAACTAGAGGGGCCGTAAGTTCAGAACGACTATACTACAAATGGCTTATCCGCAATTTTAGTACTAACTGTTTTACTTGCTTTAGTTTCCTTAAGTGTGGGCTTTTGATGAGTTTTGCTATCTTGCAGGATTGTGTACTGGAGTTTTAAACATCTCAATTGTGATTCCCCAGGTCAGCATCCAAACACCCATCTTGACGCTTGTATAGCATCATAGAAACAAATAAACTGAAACCCGTACTTCCTTGGCCAAGATACACAAGTTAATTATCCTCACAGTTTTAGTACTAACTGTATTTAGAAATCAAACGGTTTTTCGGTATTAAAACTCTCTAAGATAGGTTTAAATCTGAAAAGAGACTCTAATCATATGATTTTCCCACAAGTCTATCAAAACTCCTCTTTACCATTTTCCAAAGAAACAAATATTACGTGGAAGAAACGCAAAGAAAGGATCCAAACACTATTCCTACCATCATGTTAACCACAGTGGATTCAAAAAATAAATTTTTACATGATTTAAGAAACTCGTTGATAAAACACGCGTATAATAATAACGCTAAAGCTGATGGTTTGTTTGTGCAGATTGTTGTGGCTCTCGGTGCAGGCCCATGGGACAAAGTCTTTGATAAGGGAAACACCCCGGCATTTGCTCTCGCAGCTGCCATCGCCTTTCTGAGCGGGGTTTTGGGACTTTTCATGCTTCCCAAGCTTTCAAAATCCGACTTCAAGTCTGTCGGCGTTGGGGGCGGGCACTGATATCTGGTCAATAATTTGATGAAACAATTTGAATTCCTTGTCAAAGTTCTTTTACTTTCGTCTGGATTAAGAGAGGTTGTTACTAGCATATACTTAGTTCACGGAGATCAAGAATAATGTAAAGACTGCATATTATGGAGGGTATTGTATCCTGTAGAGCCAATTACACATCGAGTCTTTACATGTAGGAGTTTCGTATTTTTCTTTTAATAATGTATCTCGTCGAGATTTTGGAACATTTATGTGAAGCTTTTAGGTCTGTGTCTTATCTCATATATTCCAAAACAATGCTTAAGTATCCACATTCATGTTTATCCTCATTTCACTCTCAATTGACGTGTATGACTACTATATTTCAGCTATTGGATGTATCTGGGAAAAAAAAAAGTTAAGGTATTTGAAGGAAAGGGGTTCATGAAGTACTAGATCTGTGTCTAATAGGAAGACGATAATTAAGAAACGTGAATTGATGTCTTCAGAAAAAAAAAAATAGATAAACTTAAGAGAAGTTTCGGACAAAATTCATACTACAGTGACCTTTCAATTTGATAGAAAATATTCAAAAGGGAAAAGCTAATGCTAAACAATATTTTGAAGTAAAATTAAGATATATGATGATCCTAAATTGAAAATGAATATATATACGCATGATGTGCATCCCTTTGGAAAGGTCGAACACGAATGCAACATATGATTGATGCGTATTATCTTTGAGAAATGTGATATGCTTTTCTAGGATATACTTTTATAAGAATCTATAACTAGATGCTTAAATAATAGTAGTGGTAGTAATAACAATACAATAACAAACAACCCCAAATCATTAGACTTGTTAAAGTAGCTAGACTTGCGTGGAATCGTCAAATGAATGTATCCGCAACACAAGGCCTTTAAAGGAGTGGAAGCTTCGGCTTTTTTGTTTATATATACTTGTAAATTTATAAGAAGCTACAACTATAACATCTCGATGTGCCCAACTAACAAGAGACACACATGTCTAGGCTTGAATAGGTAGAGAGGCCACAATTTTGCATTATGAAATGAAATGCTCTCTAACAAGAAAGAGATAGGAGAATAATTAATTTATAGCATTTGGGAGCGTTTGTATTCATTTGTGAGGCTAGAAATAATTTAGCATTACACGATATACATTTGCACATGATTGATCTATGCGTCTATCTATTTGGCGCCCTCTTTTGGGCAATTAGGCTCATGTGTCACGTTATTGGTTCGTTCTTGTCTAAAGGGGTGTTTCGTTTAATTTCTACAAATTATAGGAAATGTTTTCCACCCAAAATATGATTTCCTTATATTTCTTAAAAAATTAGAGGAAAAGTTTTGAGAAGTAAAAAATTATCCATTTTCTTGTTTTTTTTACTTTGCTTGTTTGGTTCGAAAAAAAATAGCTCATAAGTTTATAGAAAATAAAAAGATTTCCTATAATTTGTAGAAATTAAACCAAACACCCCCTAAAATTATAGAAAAGTATCAACTTTATAGAAAAGTGTCAATGTGGTGTTAGATTTCTGGGTGATTTCCGTCCATTTTGAGAGGAAATTGATTTCTGTAAATTTTGGTATTTTTTTGTACTTTACAGGAAATATTTCTGTAAATTTTTTTGAACCAAACACAGTTTACAAAAATCTATAGAAAATTTTTAATTACAGAATTGCTATTGTCAGACATTTTGAGAAAACTTTTCTATAATTAAAATTGTGCAACCAAACAACCCCAGAGCATCAAACGTCTCTGCTTCATTGACCATCAGCATTTGACCATAATTCTGTTTATCTTATATTAATGCATTCACTTATGTCAAATGTCTCACGCATGACTTGTAACATAGTTTTGTCGTACTGAAACTGAGTTGAAAAAATTGCTTATGGCATTTACATTAGTGAAAGACTGAAAGTTTTAACTTTCAAAACTAATACTAGCATAATCTCTCAGAATCCTAATCACTATTAAGCTAGCTTATAAGCTAGTTAGTTTGTCGAATGGAAAATGATTTAAGGACCCAAAATGATTTAATCACTATTGCATAATGAGTTGGTTATGCCACTCATGCCAACTCATAACCAACTCATTATGCAATAGGGAGGGGACACCTCACCTGTCCCCTCCCTTGGTCCCATATTTTGGGTCCGGATTGGGGCTCGGGCCGAGCTTGAGCACGCGGGGCTCGGGCTGGGCCTAAGCGTGCCGGGCTCCGGCCCGGCCCGGTTTTTTTGGGTTTTTAATTTTTTTTTTAAATTTTTTTCTTTACATTTTCATTAATACATAAATAAAATTTAAACAAAATTTAAAAAAAAAATCATATTAGTATTTATTAAACATTTGGGGTGCAACACTTATCAGTTTGGGCCTCATATTTCTCCTATATATGAAGAAAAAAGCAACCCTCAACTGTTCTCACGCCGACAACAAAGAGATACATACTTCACTTAGGAAATCAACCGCCCAAGGTAAATTACAAATACAAAAAAGTATAAAAATTAAAATGATAAAAATAACTTCTTTATTAATAATCTGTAAATCGTTTACAATTATAAATTTATTTGGGGAAATTGTGTCAAGACCCTAAAAGCAACATCTTCATGTGCTGCTTCACTCTTCTTCTATGTGGTTCAGCCCTAAAAAGTATGACATATTGTGCTGCAACCTTCTTTTAGCAATTATTATCTGCCAACTAAGCATAGAGAGAGGATAAAAAGTAAAAAATCCCAAAATGCTCTTATCTACTCTATTATTTCATGTTAGGTCTATTTAGAGTTCATGTTAGGTCTATTTAGAGTTCTTGTTAGGTCTAATTTCAGCTCAACTTAATTCATATTAAGTCTAATTTAATTCCTTTTAAGTCTAATTTAAATCATATTATGTCTAATTCAACTTACTTTAAGTCTAATTTAATTGGACTTAACATGAAATTAGACTTAAAAAAATTGAATTAGACTTAACATGATTTAAAGTAGACTTAAAAGGAATTTAACATGATTGAAATTAGACTTAAAATTTCATGTTAGGTCTAATAAAAGTTCGTGTTAAGTTTAATTCATGTTAGGTCTAATAAAAATCCATGTTAAGTCTAATTTCATGTTAGTTCTAATAAAAGTTTATGTTAGTTCTAATAAAAGTTTGTGTTAGTTCTATTTCATGTTCGTGTTAGTTCTAACTAATGTTAGGTCTAATTGGTGTTCATGTTAGTTCTATTTCGTGTTCGTGTTAATTCTAACTCAAATCGTGTTAGTTCTAACGCATGAATTAGAACTAACACGAATTGTGTTAGTTCTAACTCTGTTCGTGTTTGTTCTTAACTAATAAATTAGAACTAACACGAACTGAGTTAGAACTAACACAATTCGTGTTAGTTCTAATTCATGCGTTAGAACTAACATGAACTGAGTTAGAACTAACACGAACATGAAATAAAACTAACATGAACACCAATTAGACCTAACATGAGTTAGAACTAACACGAACTTTATTAGAACTAACACGAACTTTTATTAGACCTAACATGAAATTAGACTTAACACGAGTTTTTATTAGACCTAACATGAATTAGACTTAACACGAATTTTTATTATACCTAACACGAAATTTTAAGTCTAACTTCAATCATGTTAAATTCTTTTTAAGTCTAATTTAAATCATATTAAGTCTAAATTAATTTTTTAAAGTCTAATTTCATGTTAAGTCCAATTAAATTAGACTTAAAACAAGTAGAATCATCGCCACCGGATTCGGGATCAGCATCGGTAGGAGTAGGATGACTCATTTCGGGAGTTGGGTTTTGCCCTTCATATTCAGATGAGGAAGCCATTTGATTGAAGAATTAGAGAGCTAAAGCGATATTAAAGAGTATAAGAGAGTATTAGAGAGAAGTAGATGAGTTTTGGATGAGAAAAACAAATGAAAACCCCCTCTATTTATAGAGGCAACCCCCTAGACAAATGACTAAAATACCTTCAAATTTTGACCGTTTTGATGAGATTTTGGTCAAAAGGCCAAAAAAGACCGTTTATGATCGTTACGATCGGGTCTGGCCCGTCCGAGCCGGCTTTTTTCATTAAACGGTCACTTAAGTGACCGTTTGGGCTGGGCCGGGCCGGACCGAGCCTGGTGCAGGCACCGATGGGACGGCCCGAACCTAGGTCCGGAACCCGATTTGGCCTGGGCCAAACCCGGGCCCGGGTCGGGTTAGGACACCGAGCCTCAGGCCCATTTGGACACTCAGTCGAGCCAACTAAGAAATATTTTTGTTTTGTCCTACTCAATTCCATTAAAAAAATTAATCAAAATCGACCGAACCGAACTTTTGCTCCCCCCTCCATCTAATCTCTCAAGTCTCAAGAGTACGGGGCTAGAATTTCCTCACACTAGAAAAGATGAGAAAGAGATCAGAGAGATGGAACCAAATGCATGCTAGCTGTGTGTTGGTTAGGGAGCATACTCTGCAGATTATAGGACCCATCCCTAAAAGATTCCTGCACTATAAACTTTCTCTCTTTAGAAGGCTCACCACCCTAAAGTTTTACATATAAATATTTATTTTTTTATATTTTCCTAGAGTCTAGCCAGCCCATTTTTCCTTTCTTTTGTACCTTTTCTTTCTTTTATATCAAGCAACTCCCCTCCTCTTTGCCTACTAAACGATGCAATTAGACCCTCTAATAATTATCCTAATTAGCTTTCAATATTCTACCCACTCCCACAAAGAATCATACATAAAATATCACAATGCAGAAGGGAAAAGGCCAACATCTACGAAGAAAAAAATATTAATTACGTAGACATCTTAATTTAAAGGAAAAGAGGGTTTTTTCTTTCTCGTAAAATGATTATTTAGTGCAAAGTGAGATTGCTACTCTATGGGTGAATAGATTTGCTATAGTTGGAACTAATATGCAAGCCTAGAGGGAAGGGTGAACAGGTTAATTTGCTATAGTTTCTCGCTAAAACGTAGAATATGCAGAGAAAATATAGAAAAATAAAATGGAATAACCAAACCAAAAGTCAACTAAGAAACAAGCGAGATTTTTATAGTGGTTCGGATAACAATCTTACGTCCACTCTTTTTCTCACGAATGACCTTCCTTACTATGACTAGGGTTTATCTGGATCACAACCCGAATCAGTAGGCTTACAAAGACCGCATCCTAAAATCTACCCGAAACCATATCTCTCACCTAACTCCTCACAGATGAGTAACATCTAGCCATAACTAGTCCCAATC